GCACGAACCCGTGTCCCCTGCATCGGCAGGCGGACTCTCAACCACTGTGCCACCAGGGAAGCCCAATAGTCCAGCTTTAACAAAACCGGAACAACTGTACTACAGCTCTAGGAGGTGGGCAGTGCAGTGTCCACACTGTCATCTCTCTTCTCTATAAATAAAAACACAGGTTCACTGACTTCCCCAGATCAACCACAAGTGGTGAATCTGCAGAAAGTCACGTCCATGGACTCCAAATCCCCTAAATTTGTCACTCTCCACACCTCACCTAAAAGGCAGCCAACACAATGAGGTTGCCTGACACCTGGGGCTCCGGGTCAGGTTGGGGGACTGAGATAGAGCCTGGTGTCCTTCCAGGTTTCCCAAAAGCTGGGCTGTGTCCTCACAAAGAGCTTTGCATCCTTCCTTCCTCCCCGCTTGGGCTTCCTATCCTGTCTTCTTTGTGGCACTAAACATGGCTGCTGCTCTTGGCACTGATCACACCTGTCAAGGGCCAGCCTCTGGAAAGTGTTCCATTTGGCTGCCAGCTCTGTACAAGGCCTCTTCCCCACTGAACAGCCTCGGCTTCCCTCCCTGAAATCATCACTGGCTGGGGAAGGGTCAGTGATCAGAGGCAGAGGAGCTTGTTGTGCAGGAACCGACAGGACCCCAGAGAACCCATGGAGGCCACTTTAGAAAAGGTCACCAGGGACTTCAAATACATCACAGAGCATAAGGAACTCTCTCTGATAGATTTTGTTGCCAACATGGTCTAGGCCAATCACAATGGGGAGGGCGCTGGTCCACACGTGTGCTCCTGGGGTGTTATTCTGGGCTCTGGGCTCGGACAGTTCAGTGTGCAGCCCTCAAAGATGCAGCTGGGCAATGCCTCGACCTGCTTAAAATGGAGGTGAAGGGCTTCCCTGGTGGAGCAGTGGTTGAGAGTCTGCCTGCCGAGGCAGGGGACACGGGTTCATGCCCCGGTCTGGGAAGATCCCGCATGCCGCGGAGCAGCTGGGCCCGTGAGCCATGGCCGCTGGGCCTGTGCGTCCGGAACCTGTGCTCTGCAACGGGAGAGGCCACAACAGTGAAAGGCCCACGTACCGCAAAAAAAAAAAAAAGAAAAAAAGAAAAAAAAAGGAGGTGAAAATGGACTCAGCCTGTGGGCCTTTGAAGACCCACTTGTACACTTCCTGGGAGATGTCTCTTCCTAATGGGGAAGGCTCCCTGGGGAATCTAGACAGGCTCAGTGAGTCAGAGACCATATCAGAGTAGGTGTTTCCACAGGCAGCTCCAAGAGACGCTTGTAGCTGCCCCGTTCCCACCCTGTGTCCTGCAACAGGCTGCAGACAAGAAATATTTTGCCCTCAAATGTGTCTATAATCTATGCGTGGCTCATGTGGCCCTGCCTCTGTGCCGATTCTGCTTGGTCCTGGTTTGCCTGTCTAACCCCATGGATCTTCATGCTCTCCCTTTCTAGAGACCAGATGGGTTAATGTGTAGAAGAAAACAGATGAGAGCTAAGAGATCAGCACTTAGCAGCAGACCAGGCCAAGCCAGGCTGAGGGGTCCATGGCTCGTGAGTCGGGTGGGGAACATCGCTCAGGAGAACAGCTGTGGGGAGAGACGGCGCAGTGGGGTTTGGAACCCATGGACACACAGGGTTTGGACGATGCTGGTTGGGTCTGGGCTTCCTTAAGTCCCCCCAGAGGTCTTCTAGCCAGCCAAGGGGGCGAAGTCTGGAATAGAGGTTGCAGACTGGATCTGTGGGCCAGGCTTGGCCTAAAGGTACAATAAATATTGTGTGGTTCACACAATACTTCTTTTTCATTTAAATTAGTTGCCAATGTTTTTAAAATAGAAAGACCGATCTTTAAATTTTTACATCTGGATTTCCAGCTTCTTGTGAAAAGCAGTAATGGGCCTCCATGGGTGGTCAGCTAGAATTGAGCAGCGGCTGGCTCCTTTAGAAAGGATGTTTTCAGCGTGTAAGGTCTAGAAGGAGCTGCCTGGCCACGGGAAGCAGTGTCAATAGGCAGTCAGAAGGCCCCACGCTGTGAAAGCGTCTCCTTCAGAGCTCCTCAGCCCTTTAACAGGAGGCCAGGCTTGGCTCAGGGCTGGCAGAAAGAGGCAATTGTGGACTTCCCTGGGGGCACAGTGGTTGGGAGTCCTCCTGCCAGGGCAGGGGACACAGGTTTGAGCCCTGGTCCGTGAAGATTCCCACATGCCGCGGAGCAGCTAAGCCTGTGCACAACTACTGAGCCTGCGCTCTAGAGCCCGCAAGCCATAACTACTAGAGCCCATGCTCTGCAGCAAGAGAAGCCTCCGCAGTGAGAAGCCCGCTCACTGCAACAGAGTAGTCCCCACTCGCCGCAACTAGAGAAAGCCCGCGCGTAGCAACAAAGACCCAACGGAGCCAAAAATAAATTAATTTAAAAAAAAAAAAAAGAGGCAATTGTTTGCCTCCATTCTCTGCCTTAAGGACGTGAGTCATGCTTGCTCCTACCATGAGCCCTGGGCTACACAGTCTAACCAGGCAAGTCTCTACCTATCCCCAGTTCAGAGGACACTTACGTATGTACTCCACGCTATATATAGATGGCATCACATCAGCATTGTGATGCAAGAATTAAGCGTCTTTTCAAACAGTATCAGGCAGATTTCCGGAAAGCATTATTAGCATGTGCAGAACATTCAATGTGGCATTTAGAGCTGGCAACCCAATGATCTCCAGTTCAGGCACCACCAAGCCCAGAGAACACATGAGTGGGAGCGGAGCCTCAAATGCCTATGACATGAACTCAGAATTCTCTAGGAAAGGAGTACTGCACACTCCTTTCATTTTACCCTTGAAAGGCTCAGAGAACACAAAGTTATGGGCATAAAAATAACTTGGTTAAGTTCAGGAAGATCTTTCAACCCCAGAGGTAGCAAATAAGAGGTACTGCACTCCAGAATATACCAAGCCAACACGTTCACCTCTATGATACATGCAAACCACATGACTGCTACCTCAGCCACAGCACACAAGAAAGAAGATTTAGAACAAACAGGATATAAGGGGCAGTTGAGCTTAAGACTTTTTTAAGAGCCTAAAATCCAGTCTATGGGATAATGCTTAGAAGGATAAGACAACCTCAGACAGCTCAGGCACCACGACGGGGCCATTTTCTGACCTCCGATCATGTGGTTACTCACCAGGCACTGCCTTCCTGGAACATCAGCCTTCTGCCGTTTTTCTGACATGTTCCCTTCCACATGCAAATTTTCTTGGTCTCTGTCTAGGTTTTTTTTTTTTTTTTTTTTTTTTAACAGACCCTCCCCATCATCTTCCTCCCTGGTCCCCACCCCAGAACTGCATCTTTTGCTGTCTTGAAAATATAATCTAGTGGGTTGTCCCATGCACTCTTGTGAAAATGCTTTTCTGCCATTTGAGATTTTTCCACCAGGCTATTTTCTTTCCTGGGTCTTCAAAAGAAATATTCAACTTTTAAGAGTAAATAAAAAGGAAGATTCACTCCTGTTGCTACTCGGATTTCCAGGGAATATGATAAGCAAGAGAAATGGCATACCATTTAAACAGAAAATTAGATGGGGCCAAGAATGTGGTAACTTATTAATCAGCAATGAAAGGATAAACTAATAACACCTTCCAAGCTGTCAGAACTCGTTTCTACAAAGACATTTGCATAAAAATATTGATTTAAAAAAAAGTTCTTCAAATGCACTCAAAGCTAAGAAACACCTAGAAAAGACCAAAGGTCATATTCAAAGCCTCCGTTCATTACTATGCTGTGGAGAAACAATTTGAATTTTATGCTGACCAAAGCAATTAAAAAAAAAAAAAAAAGGTTAGAGCTCGGGGGATGGGTGGGGGAGGGAGATTATAAGCAGTCCTCTAATTGAACCCGTTCATTTTAAGAAATGGACTTTCATTCTTTAAATAATTAGTGAGCACCTTTTATGTGCCAAGTACTATACCAGGACCTACAAAGCATACACACATAAACTTCAGTCATGGTTTATTTTTCAAAATAACTGAAATGCAAAAATGAGGCAAGTTAAGGAAATTAGATATATTACTAGAGTTCATAAAATAAAATTTCTCATTAGCATCTCAACAGATTCTGAAAAGACTTTTGATAAAAATTGAACACCCCTTCCTAAAAATTGCAGCTCGTTATTTACAATGGGGTCAGACTGTTCAAGAAGAGTCAATTCAATTATAATACTTTTGCTAAAAAAAAAAAATAAGAAAAGGTCTAAGTGATAGTAAAGACAACTATACAGCAAAATTTTAAAGTGGGAAAAAACTCACTCTATGATGATTTAGTCCTCAGCTTTTCTATGCTTAACATATCTCTGGTGCAAACAGTGTTTTGTATATTATATGTACATGTAACAAAAAGGCCCAAAGGGAAACAAGAAGACATTTAAGAGATGTTTCTGAATGGTAAAAGAGCAGCTAATTTTTTTCATTTTAATATGTATTAAATTATATTAAAATTTTATGTAATATGTGATCAGTTTTATCAAAGAAAGCCACACAGAGTGAGAGGGGAAAGAGAGAGGGTAGGAAAGAAAGAGTGAGGGTAGGAAAGAGGCACAAAATAAGTTAATCGACTTTCGAAAACCCCAGATGCCACTTACAGGGCAAAGGCGACAACAGTGCTATGCCCGAACCGTGGGTTACTTGGTTACGAGGAGTTAGCCAGTTAAGTGTGTCCAGTGTGGTTGGTGTCAGCAGAGAGCTCTGCACTGAACCAGGCCAGGAGAAAGTGCCCTGGGAATCTGTCAAACCAGCCCAACAAGTTATTCCTCCCAGGCCAGGCCAGCCCTTCCCTACCCTCCCCCCCTCCGGTTTCACCTGCTGTGTAAACACCACAGGCTAAGCAGCCAACTCTCCCCGCTCCAGGCAGGACGGGAATGCAAGCAGCGAGCTCTGTAACGTGGACCCAGAAAGGGGCTTGCCCACGTGAGTGGCTGCAGGACCCAAGGCCCTGGGCCCCACCCACCCTTACCTGTTGAAGCATCTCTTCAGCAGCATTGAGTTTCACCTGGTGCCCTTCCAGGCACACCTCCAGGTCCCGAATCTTCTCTCCTTGGGCTTCCACTTGGTCTGTGAGGACACTCACCTGTCCCAGGAAATAAAGCAAGGGTGGAAGGCTGGGACCGGCTCCCCGCTGGAGGGGAGCCGTGAAGCCACACCACTGATTCTTGATGTGAGAAGAATGGCTGCTATTTTGGGTGGGTGGTAAGTGTCCTGGATGAAGGGAACCCCGGTTGTTTTCTCACCTGGCCAGGAAGTCCCAGCCACCACCTGGACCAGGTTGGTCACGTTTCCTGCTCTTGACAGACTCAGGAGAAAAACACCCAGCAGCCACGAGAGCAGCCTCTGGGCTGGCCTCTGGCTCCTTGTGTCTCTCAAAGAGCTCCCTTGGGCAGGCTCGACCTCAAGGAATAACTCAGCTGACTCGCCAGGGCTTCTGCCACCTCATGTGGAAGCACAATCCAAACTTCTGTGCAGAGTAGCCAATGACCTTACTCCTCTCATCAGGGTGTGAGGACAGCTCACCTATCAGGCGAGGGTTCTGAAGCAATTAAGGAATGTGGGACGTAAAGGGCATGTATTAGCACTGACAAAACTTGGCTGCAGGAAGGTTTTTGTGCTTCACAGGCCAAAACATGACTAAGTCATAAATATACACAAGCCACACTGCATATACAGTGGCAGAAAAACAGTCGTCTTTCTGAAGAACATCGAGACTTTCTATTGGAATTGTTAGCAAATAAAAATCCATTTACAATAAATCATTTAAACTATACCCTAAATACAGACTGAGAAGATTTTCAAAGCCTCCTCTATCAGCAAACAGCCCTTTTCCTTATTATTATTAAATAACCCTTTTCCGTATTACTATTAAATAATTATTATTAAAAGGTGCCTCAGAGAAGGAAGAGGAAGAAAGCATATGAGTGACCTCCCCCAAAATAAAGAAATCAAGGACTGGTAAATTGAGATCCTTTATAGCCTTTTGGTTTTTAACCAATGGTTGACTCATCACCATTTACATATAGATGATCATAAATTATTTCTCAGTCTGTAAAGGAATGATAGCTGGAGCACGAGAGTTAATGTGAATTCACTTATGCATGCTTAAATAAAGTTATGAATTATAAAGCTCCCTTTTACAGAGGCACTAATCTTAACGAATATGGCTGCTTTAAGCTTTCCATTTTTATGTTCCTAAGTAATTAATGAATTATTGAAACATACTCCTGGAGCTGATGCATGATGTGCTAACATTTCAATTATAATCCAAAAATGGGCGCCTTATCCTCGCTGCCTAACATCATCAGCCATCCTGGCCTTTTCAACTACTAACTCTAATTTCAAGAGTAGGATGCCAGGGGTGGCCTTTGCTCCCTGGGTTCCAGAGTTTCTGTTGGGGATGTGTCATGGTTAATCTTACTGGGATGATCAACACTTAGAGAGTCTGCACCATGCCTTGGGGCCATGCACTGGCGATACCCAGCGGAATAGGTACCCAGACGAATAACGTGTGGTCTTAGGTACCAAGAGGAATAACATGTGGTCTCCGGCATTCTATAGCTTATAGCCCAGCTGCTCATAAGACTCGAGATACACCAGGTTATGGGGTCCTTATGAACATGAACACTCAGTCTAGGTTATGAATGTAGAGGTGTAGAATATTGGGAGAAAATGTATAAAGGTTCTAAATGTGACCTTTATTCAAGAAAAAAACAAATATTTTCTGAGCCCCTACCACATGCTAGGCATAATTTTAAAAACCGAGGGGATACAGAAGTGGGGGAAAAAGAGAAAGATGAAAATCCTTGCATTAAGAAGTCACATTCTCTTGAAGAAATACAAGATTTTGGTGTTATTTGTTTAATCCTGAAAACAGTATTTTGCCCTGTGTGATTTCCCTTGTTCTTCCACAAGTAAACCCAGGAGAACATTCTGGGCCAAGGGCTCCAATGAATTCGGTCTGGCTGAGCTGCCTTGTGAATTAATCAAGCAAGCGGCTCCCCCATGCTGAGGATCTGTCTAACCTGCTCCTTGGAGCCTCTAGAGACAGCAGTGAGCACATAAGAGCAGCTCTGAGAGTCTGTCCACAAGCTCCTGGAGGAACAGAAACCACTAGGATCCACTTCTGACTTTTCTGATAAGCAGCTCCCCAGTTGTGCTAGAATTATTTCATTAAGGATTATTCAAGAATTCAGAATTTTTAAAATATCAGAGAGATTATCACACAGAAATTCTTTATTAAATTGTAACCCTCTAAATAGAAATGTCTCATTTCAGCCTTGAAGGTTCCGGGTTCATTAGTTTGTAGCTTGATACTGTTTGTGGCAAAATTCTAAACTGGACGCTCCTGCATCAGTTGTGTCATCGGGATGGAGGTTCAAATTACACATCCCGCAAAATGTCTGCACTCTAACGTGCTATATAATCTGGCCCCTGCTACCTCTCAGTAGGCAGTTCCCAGGCTTCTCAGGGTCACCGGCTCCAACCACACAGCCCCTTCCTGTTCTTCCCACACGCCAAGCACACGCCTACCTCAAGGTGCTCGCTGGACCAACCACCTCCTCTGCCTGGCACGTGATTCTCCCAGTCTCTGTGGGGCTCCCTCCCCAGGTCCTTAAGCCTCCTCCTATCGGGATGGTCTTCCCTGACCACACAGTCCTATCCTGCTTTATTTTTTTCCATAGCATTTATCATCACTGGAAACATTTTGTGAATTGGTTTATCGTACATGTACATGCACGCGTGCGTGCGCACGCGCGCACACACACACACACACACACACACACACACACACACACACATGAATGGAAGCTTGAGAACAGGGACTTAGTCTATTTTCTTCACTGCTACAGCCCCAGTATCTAAAACCAGTATCCACTGAGTTGTGGGCATGCAAATAGTTTTTAATGAACAAATCAATGAAGTGAAGGAAAAAAAAAACCTAGGATGCAAAATTGTGTAATTGTATATTGGGTCTGAGCTTAATTTTTTAAACTAGGGGCAGGACAGGAAAAAAAAAAGGACTGGAAGAAAGGGCCAACATGTTAAATTCTTTTTGACTTTCCAAAGTTTCTAAAATAATCAGATATTATACCTACATTCATAAAATGAAGTGAAATGAATAAAAGAAATAAGGTAAAACGGAAGGAAAAAAGCCAAACATACTGCAGCCTCTTAACTCTAGTGCTCTAAGCTAAGGCCCATAGTCTAGGGAGGGTCCCAGAACCCTACCTGCCCCCTTGCTTCCATCCCACTTACCAGTCTTAATCACCACCCTTCAAGCTTTTTAAGGAGCTGGGATTAGGATGTTAGTCTTATTATTCTCTAAATTGTCGATCACAGTGTCTGAGTCATACCAGACCTTGAGGCTTGATCCATGTGTTTGAGAACTAACACAGCAAAGAGCTCCTACCTCAGCAAAAAGCATCCCATGAGAAGGATCAACTTTTCAGAATGCAATGAAAGTTTTCAGACCTGAAACTATGTCTTTGACTCTTTGTCTCTGAAAAGTTTTGGAGTTCCTTTCTTCAAAGTAAGAGAGTCATCAAAGGCTTATTAACCCATGTTAACAGCTCCAGGGGGTTTGGCCTCGAAGTGATCAGTCTAGATCCAACTCCGGATGAACTGGGCCCGATCCTGTTAGCATCCACCCTGGGGCTTTTTAAGAGGCTTTGCTTTATTAGTGACATGAGGACACATCTCCTTTGCAAGACTTCTGGAAGACAGGGCCCCATTAATCAGCCTGGCCACAGAGCTTCCAGTGTATAGATGCAGATACTCTTGTAGTCCATGATAAATAAATGAATCCATTCACAGCCCCCAAAAGCCAAGGCCAGAGTTAAACTGTGCCCCCAGTTACTTTCTCCTTTGTTTCAGGAAAAGTCTTTTGAAAAACATACACTTTGGGAGCAGGAGGCATCCAACAGAGAAACCCTTTGGACCCCCCCTCCTACTTAAGGCAGCTACAGAGTTGGAGGTAACAGAATAAGCTGGTTCCCACCAAAAAGGACCCACCTGTAATATGAGGGACTCCTTATCTCCTTCTAGACGTGCTAAGCGCTCCTGGTACGTTTCATTACTAGCAGCACTGTGGTGATTGACCTGGGACTAAAGGGAAGAGGAAAAAAACACACACTTAAAAGCCTGGAAAAACATCTTACCAACTTCCAAATGAAGTATGCAATCGGTGAGGACAGTTTCGCTCATTATCTACGCAAAACCACCCACCTCAACAGGAAACCACAGGATTTCAAAACTACTACGAGGAGGACCAGATCAGATGCCACTGACAGGCATGCTATGAAAGCTGGCAAAAACCACCCCCTGGGTGACCCCACCTTTGGCTAGAAAGGCCTCGGTGGAACTCCAGACCCGGGGTGCTTGACGTGACTGGGCGTGTTGGGTCTGGTTTAGCTGGAGGCACAGCCGGCCAGCAGCACCAATAGCAATAAGGGGCTACTCTTTGAGACCAGGGAGCTGGTACCATTCACTGAGGAACTGTATGGGAACAACTCCTGCACAGATCTTGTCTCCTGACTCTCATGCCAAAGTTCTCCAGAGCCGAGGCACACCTCACGGTGTGGAGGCCCATCCTGAACATCGCAGAGAGCCTGGAGGATGAGGGATGCCAAACGGAAGGCCCTTCATCTACTCGCACATCCCTTTCAGAAGTGGCCAATCGCACCCCTCAATAAGGCCTCTGGCAACCAAGGTGGCACGTGGAATCGCTGCAGTGTTAGAGCTGAGAGGAATAAACTAAGATGAAACGTCTTGAGACGTTTCATCTTTCGTCTTGAGAAGAACCCAAATGACAGCCAGAGGGATCTCAAGGGCCAAGCAGAGGGAAAACACAGGAAATACCAAGTAGCCGGAAACCATGGAAAACAGAGGAAAGGGAGATTTGAGATGGCAGTCGAGAGGCAAAGCTTATACAATGCCCTGAGCTAGAGACAGGAGCTGCAGTCACTTCCTGGGTGTGTCTGCCCTGGTTGTAGGCAGGGAGGAGGGAGGTAGCTGCTAATGGAACTGAACCGGCCCAGGGCTATGACTACACCCTTCTTCCACGAGGAATTTAAGGGCCCAAACCAGAGGCGCACAGTAGGCCATCCAGGGGCTCAGCGGTCTGAAAAAGCAGATCTTATTGCTAAACGGGGAACTGACACTCCTTGACACCTGGGCTGGTCCAGAGGAGTCAATGCTCCAATGTTCGTAAGGCGGATATCCTGTATCCCAAAGGAAAGTCACGATTGTACAAAGGAGAATGTCAGAGAAGAGACCGGGCACAGGGGCCCAGAGGTGGTCCCCTCCTCCTGAGCCCATTTCGCCACATTCTAACCTTCAGAATGGGCTTTCCAACCACACCCCACCTGCCCCATTAGGAAAAGATACCTCCTGCCTTCCCTTGTCCCATCCCTTCCCCAGTGTACTGCCTAGGTGAGGGCAGGTGGCAGAGCCAGGCCTGGTTCTAAAAAGAAACAGGGACCAAGAAATCTGCATTCAAGCCCTGGAGTGTCACCTGTGAGGGAAGCACTGGCTGTCTGTCGAAGGTGCAGCGGGAGGGTGAGCCCAGGGGCCATTTCCCAGGGCAGCTGTGCCAGGCACAGGCCAGACGGACAGGGCACCCCTGCCATTCCCCTGCCTTTTCCTCTAGCCCCTCTGCAGTCTGCATCTTGTTCAGTGTTATGGAAGCTCTTTCATACCATAAACAAAGGGCCTTAGCAATCACTAATGGTTTCTTTGTGTTGATGGCAGTTTATTATTGTTCCATTAATTAATATTCCAGTCATCACATGGTCAAACACTGACTAGTATCCAAAGACACAATTATAACCTATATTTCTCAGAACCTAACAAGAAAAGAAAGGAAAATGGTTCTTAAGCAGCAGGTCAATTGCTTCTCTGTCCAAGAACTCACATGATGGTGACTTTCAGAGGAGAGACTGAGAACAGAAAGGACCCAGGCACCCAAGTGAAGCTGTGTAGATCCAGCGCCAGTGCCAAAGTCAGCACACGCACAGGGCCACCCACCACTGGCAGCTGGCACTTCTCCAGCAGGAGACGAAGGGAAGGCTCCTTCCACAAGACTCCAGCCAGCTACCGCACCACCTGGGCCTCAGTCAAAGGGAGTGCAGTGTGTTCGTACGATAAAAGACCTACCTACACAATCACCCAGAGAGGCAGCTAGTTGAAAAAAAAAAAAAAAAAAAAAAAAAAAAAGAGGAAGGAAGGAAGTTGATATCGTAAGTTCAGTTAATACACAAAATGCGTCCCATAGTCTATAACACATGCTAGAAGTAGATTGAAAAAAAAAAACTGCATCTACTCTAGCAGCCAATGGAAAAAGGGAAGCACAACTGAGTTAAAAGATCAGTATGACAAAGTCAAGCTAACTGCCTAGGAGAAGCACAGCTCTTCCTAAGGAAGGGAGAACCATCCCTTGTTTCCACAGACAGACTCTGTGTAGTGGGATAAACAACATTCGTGATGATATCCTCACAGTAAACAGAGCCCAGCAGAACTCACTGCTTTCCTGTGATGTTCTCAAAATGGGTCAAAGGTTAGTGGATAACGTGGGCCAAAAACCAAAGCAATTCTATGGAGACCAATACAATGTGGTCCAAGTACCGTGCTCTAGACACAAAGTGGGCACTTAGGCAGCGCTCACCATGTGCCAAGCACTGTTGAGAGCACTTTACGTATATTAATTCATTTAATCCTTCCCACAACTCTGCTAAATAGGTACTATTTTTATTCTAATTTTACACTCAAAGGAACTGAGACACAAAGTATATGAACAAGGCACAAATGGATTATTTGCCCAAGTTACCATGTACGAAACCAGTAAGCTCTCTGTTACAGCTTGAGGAACAGATCAGTATAAATTGTTTTATACGTTGTGATTGTATGAAAGTTCACTTAAAATAAGGTGTAAAAATGCTGTCTGAACCTAAATATCCATTAATAGAGGAGTGGATAAACTGTGGTTCACCCATATCATGGACAATTTGTAGCATTTTAACATGAGGCAGATTTTTATGAACCATCATAGAAATACAAGACATATTGGATAGCGAAAGCAGCAAGATTCAAAGAATCACGTGGTGTGATACTAGAAAACAGTACTATCCAGCTCCGCAAGTATTGATATATATATATATATATATATATATATATGAAGATAAATAGACCCAGTGTCTGGAGGGCTACAGAACCACCCTTAACAGTGCTCTCTTTTGGGGAAGTTTCTGGGCTACGAAAAGTTGGGAGTGGGAGGTTTGATCAAGAGGGGCTTTAACTATAATATTTGAGCTTCTTATAAAAATATGTTTGGGCTTCCCTGGTGGCACAGTGGTTGAGAGTCCGCCTGCCGATGCAGGGGACACGGGTTCGTGCCCCGGTCCGGGAAGATCCCACATGCTGCGGAGCGGCTGGGCCCGTGAGCCATGGCCGCTGAGCCTGCGCGTCCGGAGCCTGTGCTCCGCAATGGGAGAGGCCACAACAGTGACAGGCCCGAGTACCGCAAAAAAAAAAAAAAAAGTTTATTTAACTTAATTAAAATATATTTTAAAATCTAGAAGCACTGTTTGAGTAGCTAGAACAGTTCTTGGTGCTTTTTTCCTCCCCTAACAGATTTGAGAGGCACATCCTTTCCCAGCAGTCACACTGGCCTATGTGGCAGTGCTGCATGTGGTGGGAAAGTCCCTCCCTCGACCCAAATCACCATTCTAGAGGAGCAGGGCATCTTCCTCTCATACAGTTGACCAAAATCACTGCTGTTCTCTAGCAAGCTTTTGAAAGGTATTAAACAACAGTGAGATGGAAACAATGTCCCAGAAAGAAGTCTGCCACATCGTTATCCCTTGCTTTTGGTGAAGTTCACAGTCCTGTGTTTTCACATTCTACAGAAGATGGACAGCTCTCAAGAAAACTGCACTCAAGCCTTAGCTGGTCACAGACCAGGATAAAACACCACCTCTGCTTGAAGAACCTGGAAAGCAACTGAGAACAGGGCCAGGAAGAACATCTTGTTGAATGCCAACATTTATTAGCCAAAGGTGAGGATTTGAGTTTTGAGTGAATAAATGCATACTCCTTATTCCAGTAATTGGGCAACAGGTTCAGTCACTTTGCGGCATCATTCTTGGATTATAAAATGGCTGTATCATCAGGGCATAAAAGGCCAGAAGGTTATGAAAATTATTGATAAACATGTTTAAAAAGACAGAGTCGGGACACAGCTCTGTTTTGCCCGACTTTCCGAAGAGCTTGCTTTCTCAGAGGCTACACCTGCTTCCTTAATTCTAACAGTGGAATTGTAGTAGAAGTCTTGGATCAATACTGAGATCATCAACTGGGTCGCTGAGTGATTCCAGGTTTGGGAGTCTCTGAAAAGTCTTGTCCGTATTCTCTATTAGGTAACTTGGTGATAGAGCAGTTGCCCAGCTCTCCATGCATAAAGTCAGATGGAGAGAACCATGCCGGCATTCCACCGAGGAGGAGAAAGTCACACCGAATTCCGAAAGATGCTACATGCTCAGTTCCTATTCCTCCCCGCTCTGGGATGGCAAGTGATCTAAAGGAGAGTTCTATACTATTCTCCCCTGTTAAGGATGCTCATCCCATTGATAAATATAAATTAAAAAGAGGTCATTTTTACTCAACTAATGATGTTAAGCCCCTAGGCTAGACCCGTACAATGGACTTCTGATGTACTAAGGTGTGATATACATATATTTGATCAAATTTTTCTCTTCTGTTTTGATGGTTATTTCTACAAATGTGACAGAGGGAAAAATGAATCCTCTCATCCAAACTTTCCATCGTCAAAGATATTCCTGAAACTATAATTCATGTTAGTTACCTGATATAATATTGCGTGGGACCAAGAGATATTGTGAAGGCCAGGGATCTGCGTACCCTATGGAGGTGAAATGGCAACTACAGATTGACATTTCCATGTCCTCTTGCGGCGCTTATTGAAGAACGCCACAGTGAAACATACGCCCTCTCTCTTATATCACAGAACTGAATCAGCACAGGGAGTTCTTTTTGTGTGCATGTTGTCAATAACTCAGAAACTTTAGCCAAGACTACTGAAGTTAAACCAC